CAACAAATAACATGCTGACAAGGGTATGGAGATTAAAATGTGCCCTTTTGGTGGGATTGCAAATTGGAGCAGCCACTATGGAAAATAGCATGTAGGCTTCAAAAAACTAAAAATAGATTTACCATAACAGCCAGCAATTCAACTCATGGGTATTTATCCAAGGAAAACAAAAACACTACCTTGAAAAAATACATGCCCCATGTCAATTGAAGCATTATTTATAATAGCCAAGATATAGAAGCAACCTAAGTGTCCATCAATAGATGAATGGATAAAGGTGTGAGATATATATCACACACACATATACAATCGACTGTTACTTGGCAATAAAAGAGACTGAAATCTTGCCATTTGTGACAACATGAATTGACCTAGAGGGTATTTGGTAAGCGAAGTAAGTCAGAGAAAGAAAAATATTGTATAATTTCACTTATCTGTGGAATGTGAAAAACAAAAAAACAGAAAAACAGACTCATAGAAACAGAGACCAAACTGATGGTTACCAGAAGAGAGGCAAGTCAGGGAAAGGGTGAAGAAGGCGAAGGGAAATACAGTCAATAATACTGTGATAAGTTTGCATGGTGACAGGTAGTTACTAGACTTAGTGTGATGATCACACTATTAGTTATATAAAAGTCAAATCACTATGTTGCTTACTTGAAACTGATATACTAATATTGTAGACCAACTATACATAAAAAAAATAGAAAAAAGGAAAAAGGAAGAGATTTATAAATGCTGAGATGCAAATATGGGGACAGGAATTACATGGATCCAGTTCTTACAATATCTATTTTTGTGGCGCTGCCAAAGAAAAGGTTATCACCTAATTCCAAGTGTGAACATACCAATCACCTTTCACCCGTAATTGTCCCTCTAACACCTGCAATATGTATTTTGTTTATCCTTTAGTCTATTCTCATTGGCTTGAGTGCAGAAGTAAAAAACTTTTTTATATTCCTATAGCAATTTTCCCTCTCATTTCTCACAAAGTACTTATGTCCTTTTCCACCTTAAAATGTATTTTGGAGAAGCTTACTGTAAGGACAATGCAGGTTGGCCACCTACTGATATGGAAGTGTATGAGGACAAATACTTTCTCCAACTTAAATAAACGTCAAATAATTTCAGCAACTGGTTCTTCTTTCTCCATTTTGTTTTCTTGTAAATGAAAACCCCACAAGGACAGTGACTGTTTTTATGCCTTGTCAATATATAGCAAACACTGGGGGTGTGAAATAAGCAGTAAATAGGGATAAAATTCCCAAATAATAAAACTGACTCTAACCCAGTCAACTGCTACTAGTGATGCAGAGGCTGCACTTAAAAGGACTAGAATGAAGCATAAATGTTCTTAATTACAGTGTCCAGAAATGTGAGGTACATTGGTAATTATAACATTCAGTTAAATATTTATCAAGTACTTTTTATTTGATTACATATCTGATGAGAAAAATACCAATACTGTCCTCATTTTAAAGAGAAAAAAATAAAAATTCAGGAGATTAAAGTTCATATAGTCAACTAACATATGCAGACCTGGAATCCAAACTTTGTTTTTTCTGATTTCAAAGCTACTGGTGTTATTTACATTCCTATACAATCTTTTCCTCAGTTTAACACCTATAAGAGTTGAATAATACTATTCCTATGGCAAAATAAGGACTCATAGTATGGTTGTTGAGCAATACAAGTCCTCACCTAGTGCAAGATAGACAAGTATTCTGACCAAAGCATATATGTAGTTTAATGGACAGAAGCTATTACTCAAGAATTAGAAATGGAGCATGTCCTCTTGTTCGATTTTAGCTTTGTATTTTAGGGCCTGAGCAGTGATATATTTAATAGGGTATAATTTAATAGGGTAGCACATCAATATTTTCCACCCTATTACATATTTAGGCTATCATGTAATTATATATATGTATATATACAGAGGTCTGTCCAGAAAAAGACCATTGTTAATATAGTAAGAACAGTTTGCATGACATTGATGTAAGCTGGCACCCAAGGAGAGTGACTGGAATGTGCATACATGAGCAATGACAACTTCACTGTGCTGGTCAGTGGGGGCTGTAGATGGCATTGAGTGACCATGTGTACTGTGTGGCTGTCGCATTCAAAATGACTGAGTAATTAATCTGCATCAGATTTTGTGTTAAACTTCACTATTCCTCTGTGGACACTATTTGAATGATTCAGAAGGCCACAGCTATGGGCAACTGGTAACTGGCAACTTCATCAGGACAATGGCTTGCTCTTGTATCACATGTCTTGTGCAGAGTTTTTTTGCAAAATATCAAATCACCCAGGTGATTCAGCCCCTCAACAGCCCAGATTTGGCGCCCTGTGACTTCTGGCTTTTCCCAAACTAATATCACCTTTGAAAGGGAAGAGATTTCAGACCCTCGATGAGATTCAGGAAAATACAATGGGGCATCTGATGGCAATTAAGAAAACTGTGAGGTCCCTACATGTCTACTTTGAAGGGGACTGAGGCATCATTGTCTTATGTACAATGTTTCTTGTATCTTGTTCAACAAATGTCTATTTTTTAATAGCTCATGGCTGGATACTTTCTGGACAGACTTCATAAGCTAATGGTAGAAAATGTTTTCAGTATTTAAAATAAAGTATTGCCTAAGGAGGTATCACATTACCAAAGAGGCAAGTTTACACTTTGCATATCAGAACATTTATTTTATTTCTTTACTTTGCTAACAATTTTGATAGATTATGTGAGAAAAAAATGAGGTGGCTAAAAAGTCTGTAAAGAATTTTAATGTCAACCTAAATGATAGGCATAATGAACTTACCGTATCTTGCCTATTAATTCTATTGAACTTTTAATGTTTTGTAACCCAACTTAAAAAATAATATATATTTAAACTTTCTTTTAGTATTCCTGCAGACCATGCTGTGTGTTACCAAACATTAGTTGGAAATAATCGCTATAAACAGATGAAATTTGAGAAAATAATATGAAAATAGTTAACACTTATTATACAATCTAGGCTTTTAAAAATACGATGCTGATTTTTACAAACCATGCTTCATTCAGCATGGAACATATGGCTTTGTGGTTCTGAGAAAAATATATCTCCAATCAGGATTTCTATCATTAAATTTATATTTATCCAGCACATAACAAATTCCCTTTACGTTTTAGTCCTTATGCATTTCTATTAGAGAATGATGTTTACACAAAAATATCTATTAGGATACTGCAGCAACCACAAAAACTCAATAGAAAAATAGTTATATTAAAATAAATATTACAGAATTTTAACTAGAAGCTATTACAAAGATTCTAATGTATAAGACTTCCTTTGCGAGAGTACATGCTAATATTGCCTCTATTTCTCTATCCAGAAGAAATTTGAAACATAATTTAAGGTCAATATATTTGGCATAAGAAATTTACATATCAATGTGAATAGAGAAAGGGAAAGTGAGGAATATAAAAAGGAGAGTGAGATAATATTTTTGATTTCTCCTAAATGGTCAGTCTTTAATATATACTTATTGAATGAATATATAAATATATATACATTTTTATCAAATGAAAGTGTTAATATAAATTTTGTATTTGTTGTATATTTTGAATTTAACATTAAAACTGTCTCATAAATTTTGGGTGAGCAATTTCAAATGAAAGTAAAATTATTTTTAAAAAGTGTGCTGTATAGGTTCATTATTAATATCAAAAACCTAGTTAGGCATGCATTCACTGATAAACTATTGGTTACAATGTAAATAGTTCAATAAAAATAAATTGAAGCATAAATCATATATCATATATTACATGAAACAGAATAGATATATAGATATGATTAGTGTTTCAAAAACACTAGAAATTTCAAATTGATTATATAGTATCATTTACAATTTTTTAAAACAAAATAAATATACAAAATAAGAATATCAACTAAAAATGTATGCAGTTATTGAATTTTATTTCTTATTAAGCAATAAACTAAAACCTGTTAAAAAGTGGTAAGCTACACAATGACATCAATTATATACTAAAATGACTGGTAGAAGGCAGTTGACACAGAGATTCAGAAACATAAAACACTTGCTTGTTTTATATTCTTTATATTTTATTAGAAAAACCATGCATATTAATATTTACAATCAGTTTTTATTTTCTATATGTATTGTTTAAATTTCCCAAATACATTCTCCAGAGCTAATCATTTAAAACTAATACATGTTAAAAAAAGGGCACAGGATCTGAATAGACATTCTCCACAGAAGAAATACAGATGGCCAACAGACATAGGAAAAGATGCTCATTACCATGAATCATTAGGGAAATGCAAATTAAAACCAGAGAGAATATCACCTCACTCCTATCAGGCTATCATAAAAAAAATCAACAAATAAGTGCTGAAAAGGATGTGAAGAAAAGGGAACTCTCATGCATTGTTGGTGGGACTGTAAACTGTTGCAGCCACTATGGTAAACAGTTTGGAGATGCCTCAAAAAATTAAAAATAGAGCTGCTATATGACCCAGCAATACTATTTCTGGGTAATTATCTGAAGAAAACAAAAACATTAATTCAAAAAGATGTATGTATGCCTAAGTCACTGCAGCATGACTTACAATAGCAGAGGCAGGGCAGTAATTTAGGTATCCATTGATAAGTGAATGGATAAAGAAGATGTACATATATACAATGGAATATTAATCAGCCAAAAAAAAAAAAGGAATAAAATCTTGCTATTTGTGACAAAATAGATGGACCTGGAGGGTATTCTTCTAAGTGAAATAGCCAGAGAAAAACAAATACTGTATGATTTTACTTATATATGAAATCCAAAAATGAAAACAAAAACAAATGAACAAACCAACCAGAAACAGACCCAGAGGTAGAGAGAACAAGCTGATAGTTGCCAAAGGAGGCGGGAGGGTCGGGGGTGGGATGCGTGAAAATTGTTGAGCACCATGCAATTCAGTTTGATTCTTCATCCCTTTCCCCACTCAGCCCCCACCAAAAAAAAACCCCAAAAACCTCATTCATATATTTTTTCATGCATCCTACAACAGAGACAAAAAGCAAGCAAGAACGATCATGGTATAACAGCCTCATTACATAAAGTAACTAATATTTTACACTACGGCAGTTTGAAAGCAATTTTATGTTTATTGAAGAAGCATTCTTTTCATGCATGTTATTCAAGATTCTTTTCTGTCAGAGTTTGAGTTTTTTAATGCTGTTGTAACACATTACCACGAACTAGGTGGCTTAAAATAACAGAAATTTATTCTCTCACTGTTCTAGAGGCTGGAAGTCTGAAATCAAGGTGTCAGCAGAGTTGGTTCCTTCTGAAGACCCCGGTGCAGAATCTGTTTCATGCTTCTCTCCTAGCTTCTGAAGGTTGCCAGCAACCTTGGTTTCCCTTGGCTTGTAGGTGTAGCACTACAATCTGTTTCCATCTTCCATCTTCAGATGGTGTTCTTCCCTGTACCTGTGTCTCTCTTCTCTTCTTACAAGGGCACAAGACACATTTGACTAAGGCCTGCCCTGCTCCAGTACCATATCACCTTAACTACTTACATGTGCAATGGCCATATTTCCAAATAAGGATACATTCTGAGGTTCTGTGAAGGAAATAGATTTTGGAAGGGCACTATCCAATCTAGTGAAGTCAGTTTCATTAGCATTAAAGAAGAAAAACTCTCATATTATATGGGTCTAAAAATAATTAATGAAATAGAGGAAACAATGTTGAATATAGGGGTGTGATCTTTTATTTTTAAACAGATACTTGGATGGGCACTTACTTTTGGGAATCTCTCTCATTCATAAATATGACTTTATGTAAAGAGAAACTTACAAAATTCTTCAAGAAAGAGTCAGGGGATTAATCCAGGCGCATTTATTTGTTTCTAATTTGACACACTTTTCCTTAGAAGGTTTTCTATTTCTGATTTCACTGAAGAATTGCTAGATTTAAATAAAGCCTTTAAAGTAAAAGCAGTAAACCAGCTTTGAAACAAGCTAAATATTACCGGGGCAGATAAAGTAAATTTAAATAAACTGAAGTATTTAATTCTTATATTTTGTCCATAACTATACTAATATTCTATTCATTTGGATTCACCAATTTGGAATTTCTAATCATATGATAACATGAATTTTTCCTGTATAATGCTAAGGTAAACCCATTAATCCAGTTTTGAGATGCTGCTTCTCCTTAAATTGAACTTTCTGTGACGTATTACCTGAATATTTGACAAAAATATGCTAAATATTCTCAATTTCCACAGATATGTAGTACATATCTATATGGTAACATACATTTTCTGGGGTTAAGCTGTTCAGGAATTTTACATAAAAACATCATGAGAAACTGTGAGGGAAAACTTGAAGGATCAGATGATTATGACTTTGTCATAATTTGATAGCTGCTCTAAGTTTGGCTGAGCGCCCTCTGGGGTTATCTTGTACATCCTGATCTTCTGGGGTAAGTACCTTCTTGTGTATCAGTTCCCACATTAAAGGGGCCCTTCTTAGAGAGACACCGTCCCTGTTATCATGACCTGAACTCAACTGTGATATCTGTGCCACCTTCTGTCTTACACTTAGGTTAAATCTTTCTGCCATGCTTATCCCAAGCAAGAATCGTTTGACAATGCGGTCCTCCAGGGAATGGAAGGAGAGGGCAACAAGACGACCACCAGGTCTCAGAAACTTCTGAGCTGTCATCAGTCCTGTATAAAGTTCATTAAGTTCATTGTTCACAAATATGCGAAACGCTTGGAAAGTCTTGGTAGCAATGTGGGTAGATCGTTGTAGCAAGTCTTTTCGTGCATAAGTAGCAGAGGGAGGGAATGCACCTATAAACAGATTTTGTGAAAACAGGAAAAGAGAACAGGTAACATTAATATATTCCTCTGCAAATGTACTGGCTTGTGTACATATTTAAGAACTAAATTTCCTTTGAAAATGTGGAATTTCATTAGTACTTCCCCATTTTATTTCCAAGCATTTTAACAAGAGTTAAAATTACTGTGTCAGAAATATCTTTTATTACTCATAAAAGAAACTGGAGTCAAATAGGAGTAGGAAAAAAAGAGCTTTCAACTATAAGAAGTTCAATGAACCCCCTAAATAGAATAAACAAAGAAAGTTGCACCTAGGCACATTATAATCAAACTACTACAAGTGAAAGATGAGAAAAATCTTAACTACAACAAAGAAAAACAATACATTACATTAAAGGAGAACAAAAAATATTAACAGCTAATTTCTCATTAGGACAATAGAAGCTACAAGATACTGGAATGACATTTAAATTGTTGAGGAAAAATCTGCCTTCCAATAAAAGGCTATTCTAAAATTATTCTTCAAAATTAAAGGTTCAGACATTTTCAAATAAATGAAAAATGAGAGAATTCATTGCTAACAGGTCTGCATTCAAGAAATGCAAAAGAAATACTTCAGGCTGAAATAAAATAAAATCAAGTGACAACTTGGATATACAGAAAGATATATGTGTGTATATATACATATATTCTCATATATATGTGTGTGTGATATATGTAGGGAAGGATACATATATATTCTCTTAATTTCTTTAAAAGACAGAACTCTTTAAGTTAAATTATAACAATATTTTGGGTTTATGATATAGATATCTTAAGATAGGTATAAATAAGCAATGTATATGATAGCAATAGCACAAAGAGTGAGATTGGGTAAAGGAAACTATACTATTGCAAGGTTTATATATTTTACTTAAAATTAAAGTTGCATTATGGTTGCTAAAGCAGTAAATATAAATAATGCAAAGATAACAAACTAACAGGGAATAAAAGTAGTACACTAAGATATTGTTTAACACAACAGGAAGCAAAAGAGAAGAATAGGAAAACAACAATGAGATAAAGGGAAGACAAAAAGTAAAATGGCAAACAATAATTCCAAATACAAATATTTATATTAAATATCCATGTATTAAATAATCCAATAAAAAAATGCACTGATTATATGGCTGAAAGAAAGCAAGACCTAACTATATATTGTCTATATAAATGCATTTTACATATAAAAACACAATAAAAGTAAAAATAAGCCAAGGCTGTGAAAAGATGTACCATGTAGACAGTAAACATAAAAAGCCTGGGGAGATTATATTAATACTAAACAAAATAAAATTTAAAAGAGAATTACTAGACCCAGAGAGGAACATTTCTCATTGAGAAGATGGTCAAGATAGCAGGAAGATACATTATAAATGTATATGCACCAATAACATAGTTCCAAAAATTTAGTCATCTCAGAAAAAGACCTACATTTATATAGGCAATTGAGTTGTGACCAAGTTGTCAAGTTAATTCAATGGAGGGAGAACAGGTTTTCAATAAAAGTGAATATCTGTGAGAATATGAACTTCAACCCACACCATACACTATACACAAAAATTAATTCTAAATAGAGCATGAACCTAAGAGTAAACAATAAAACCGTAAAACATATATATGACAAAACTCTCCTATTTAGAATATATAGGAAATCTTACAACTTAGTAAGTCAAATTACTTGTTTGAAAAAAAGAGCAAAAATTTGAACAGACATATTTCAAAAGATATAAAATAGCCAATAAACATATGTAAAGATGTTCAAAATAATTATTAGTCATAGAAGTAGAAATTTAAACCACTATGAAATTCCAATACACACCCAACTGCTAAATCTTTGAAAGATACAAACTACTGAAACAGACTCAAGAAATAAATAATATGAATGGATATATTACAAATGAAAGAACTGAATCAGTAATCAAAGTCAACTCACAAACAGAAGTCCAGGCCCAGATGGCTTCACTGCTGAATGCTGCCAAACACTCAAAGAATTAATAACAATACTTTAAAAACTCTTCCAAAAAATTGAAGATGAACAAAACACCTCCCAAATTATTCTATGAAGCCAATATTACCCTGAAACTAAAATCAAAGACATCATAAGAAAACTACAGACCAGTATTTCTCATGAATACAGATATAACAATCCTCAACAATATTCTAGAAAACTAAATTCAGTGGCATATTAAAAGAATTATACACGATGACCAAGTGGGATTTATTTCTGGGATGCAAGGATGGTTGGTTCAACACATGAAAATTGATTTATGTAATACATGACATTAAGAGAATAAAGGAAAAACACCCATATAATCATACAACTGATTCAGAAAACACACTTGAAAAAACTCAACATCCATTCATGATAAAAACATTCAACAAAATAGGAATAGAAGAAAAAGCTTTTCATCATTAAAAGGCTATCTATATATATGGGTAACTACAGCTAACATCATAATGATGACAGAGACTGAAAGCTTTTTCTCAAAGATCATGAATAACATAAGAATGTCCAATTTCACCATTTCTATCCAACATGGTACTGAAAGTTTTAGAGCGATTAGACAAGAAAAAGAAATAAAGGCATCCAGATTTGAAAGGAAGACATAAAATTCTCTATTTGCAGAAGATATATCTCATATGTAAAAAAAAAAAAACCACTAAAAATCACACACACACACACACACACACACACACACACACACACACACACTAATTAACTGTTAGAACAAATCAATTCTGCAAGGCAGCCAGATAGAAAATTAACATGCAAAAATCACTTGTGTTTCTATACACTAATCATAAACAATCCAAATATAATATTAAGAAAATAATTTCATTCACAATAGCTTCAAAAAGGATTATATATTTAGAAATAAAGTTAACAAAAGAAGTACAAAACTTATGCTGTGGAAGCTACAAATTTTTCTGAAATTGTTTAAGATAGAAATATTTATTATTCAAACTCATCTAAGGTTCAATGCAATCTCTATCAGTTCCCGGCTGACTTTTTGGGTATAAATTGACAAAGTGATTCTAAAACTGACATGGAATTGTAAGACACCGAGAACAATCAAAATGATCCTACATATATATATATATATATATATATATATATACACACACACACACACACACACACACACACACACACACATATATATGTAGGAAGGCTCACACTTATAGATTTCAAAATTTACTATAGAGCAATATTAATTGAGACAGTTTGATATTGGCACATGAAAAGACATAGAGATCAATGGAATTTAATTGAAAGCCTAGAAATAAAACTATATAGTTGTGATCAACTGATTTTTAACAAGAGTGCCAAGACCATTCGGTGGGGAAAGAACAGTCTTTTGAGCAAATGGTACAGGGACAATGAGATAGTTACATAAAAAGATTGACGTTGGACCCTTAAATCATACACAAAATTAACTCAAAACAGATCCTAGACCTAAATGTGAGAGCAAAAACTTTAGAATTCTTAAATGAAAGCACAGAGACAAATCTTCATGACTTAGAAGTTGGTAAAATTTCCTAGGGAAAAAAACTCCAAAATCAGAAGCAACAAAGGAAAATAAATTAGATTTCATCAAAATTAAAAACTACTGTTCTTCAAAGGACACCATCAAGAAAATGAAAAGACAGCCCAAAGAAATGCAGAAAAACTTGCAAGTCATATATCTAATAATGGATTTGTATCTAGAATATGTGAAAGAAGCAAATTACAAAGTAAACATGCATGATGCTATTTCTATAATATTTTAAGACATGCAGATCAAAAACAGTCACGTCCCATCTAGTTTTCAAGATAAATGAAAAATGTTGATTTTTAAATCAATCAATAAATATAATTTTTCTTAAGACTCATTCCATTGGCATACATCTATATTATTAAAATTTAATGCCCAGTGAATTTCTACAGGAACTTTTATTTGCTTTAGGAACTCATTCCTGGAGAATACTATTCCTCAAAGAAATCTTTCCAGTCCAGATTTCCTGTGAATGAAGATCTGAAAGCATTGGCTTCAACCCTGCTTGATTATCTTCAGTACGCTTCTTACAGCAAAGAAAATTATACAAGGCTGGTACCTTAGTTCGCACTTTAGTAAGCTGTAGGAAATCTAGTAGTAAAGTACATTAACACACCCGAAATGAATCTTCCTAGGGAACTGGATCGGAGAAAGGAGGAAATGATGTGCCTGGGCACTGAGAAGCTGGCTGTCTGAAGTTAACCAAAGCAGTTTTGTGGGTCGGCTCTTTTCTCTACAAAACCTGCTTTGCTGAAAAGTTAGAAAATGTTATATGTTAGGGAATTTATCTTCCAACAGCCAGGTGTTTCAGAAACAAAATGTCAAAATCAAAACTAAGGTGGGAAGTCAACTTCTTGTCATTTGCTATTCAATTTCTCCATTTCCCAGAAAAAGAATTCTGGTCACTAGGAATGTGTTTAAACACATTCTAAGGATATGAAAAAACGTACAACTCTTTATATTTTAGAGCTTGAATTTAGAGGACACTTGAAGAAGGCTGCATTCCTGAAGACCTTGTATGATTCAAACCTTGCATAATTCAATACAAATTTTCTCAAAGGAGAAATGTAGTATAAAATACATTTTAATGGGTATGGTTAAACCGAAATCGAAGATAAACGTTCATGAAGCACAAGGATCAACAAACACTATAGGATATTTTTGCTTTAATTCTTCTAAAAACTTTTCTTAACATTACCTCTAGTATTTAAAAAAAAATATAAAAGCATAGTTCAGCATGGCAATTGCTTAGCTTCCTTGGCATTTTATCACATTTCAATGATATATATTTGAGTTTGTGGTTTTTAACATAGCACTGAATTAGCTATGCCTGGCTATGTGTTAACTAAATTGTTGGAATAAAAGAAAGGGAGAGAGCTTAATTAATACTTGTTTGATATTATCATTGAATATATTTTGGATAACTAATGGAAACAG